CACGATGACAAACCGTTAATTATATTTAGATCAATCAATGTTTTTTAAATAGTGAATTTTATAATGTTACCTGCATAAATAGTGAGGAAATAATTAACATACGTCTTTTATATAAAAATGGGTAAAGTATAAAGATGAGCTATTAACTAGTGTCACGCCAGTCGCACAGGCAATCACGTAAGTTGGGTTCCAGAAACTCATTTAAATATTAACATTAAAAATTAAAAAAAGAAAAGTGTGTAAATATAAAACGTAAAATAAAGATCATTTAAAATATCTGCAGATTTGCTGATTGTATTGGGACTTTGTTAACCAGTGAAGCAAAATTTACTGTCGTTGAGTTTAACATGAACTCTAATCAAAAGGCCACGATTATTGATGTCGAATCTGAAAATGACATCGTTATTTCTGGCATCGCCGGTAGATTTCCGAAATCTAACAATTTTAGGCAGCTTGAAGAGAATTTATTTAACAAACTGGATCTTGGATCAAATGAGGAACGCCGATGGAATCATGGTAAAATCTTCTTTGTTTTATGAATAAAAAATTATATTAAAAATATTTCATAGAAACATATGTATAAAATTACTGTTCTATTTAAATTTCTTATTCATTGCCATAATTTTTTCTTTATCTAAACTCCTATTTTAGTTGGAACAAAAATAACTGTTTACTTATTATATACGGTTTAATATACAGGTCACCCAGATTTACCTCAACGTATGGGACTGATTGACAATTGCGAGAAATTCGATGCAGACTATTTTGAAATTCCTTTCAACGAAGTCCATATCATGGATCCTCAGAGTAGGATGCTCATGGAGCATACGTATGAAGCTATCGTCGATGCAGGAATAAATCCGAAAGATTTATCTGGAACAAAAACTGGAATTTTTCTCGCAATATGCGTGTCGGAAGCGGAAAAGGTTTGGTTTTTTGAAAAACCACAGGTACGAAAAATTACTTATCGATCAAACAAGAATACTGCAAAAACTTATAGCATAAAAATTTTGAAAAATAACATTTTTAAATCATATTGTGAAAAATGCACTTGTTTGTAAATCAGCTTGTACAATGCTCATACAATGAACATTTAAATTCTCTAAACAATTTATGTACGCACATTAGATAGCTGGCGCTGCAGCTTTTGGATGTTACAAGCCTCTGTACGCAAATCGGATGTCTCACTGGTTAAATATAACAGGACCATCTTGCACATTCGATTCCGCTTGCAGCTCAAGTCTCATAGCTTTAGAAAATGCTTATAAAAGTATCCGGACAGGACAGTGTGACGCAGCTATTGTCGGCGGTGTAAATCTCTGCATGCATCCTTATATATCTTTGCAGTTTGCGCGACTCGGTATTATACTTATTGAAATAATTAATTTAGAATATAGGAGATAATTGAAAAATATAAAAATTATTATAATCTAAATAATTTAGAATATATACAGGGTGTCTGGCAATAATCGCCCACCGGTCATATACAGGTAGAGGAGGTCAAATCGAGTAGAAAAGTCCTTTACCATTTTTAATTTTCATAATAAGTACTGAGTAATTAACGAAAAAGATCGGCGAATTCGCGCGAGTAAAGCGCGCGCGGTGAGAAGGACGTCCCACTGCTACGCGATCACTAGGACACAAAGATCTAGTGTTACGCGTCGCTCGT